TAGCCCCACGCGGGCGCGCCTCCATTCATTCGCCCAGAGCCGATTCTCCACCTCGGCGCGGTGGAGCCTCTTGGCCCGCTCTCCTCGCTCGCCCACCGCGGTCTGTGTGGACCTCGAGGCCCGGTGTCCAAAAACGCCCCTGCCTCTTGCTGCTGATCAGCCGCTACTGAAGAGTTCCCCCCACCCCGGGATGGCTGTCTTCTCCTTTTCTCATCTCTTCGTCCCTCCCCTCTCCCTTCCCAGTTTCTGTTGGTTGGAAATGTGCTGGGGAAAAAGTTACTTCGAGCTTTATATACATCTATCTATTCATTCCAACGATTGATGAACCCGGGGCAAAAACTTGACAGAATGTAAAAACGTAGGAACTTTTCCCGCTCGCCCGTCACGAACTTTGATTTTTTTTTTTTTCCAATTTGTGAAATGAGTTAGTTTGAGCGGTCGCCAGAATTCCTTTCCTTTTTCTGGGTTTCAGCGGCCCGGGGCATAAAAGGTAATGATCGGTGTTCAGGAGCTGTTTAGCCAAGAAAACAGGAAGTGATTGGCTTCTACTTAGTAGCCAGCATGACTTCTGAGTTACTGTTAAGGGATTTTGGTTGGGGGCCGGGTCGGGGAAACGGGACAGATGTTGAGACAGTTTCACGGAGTTAGCCCTGGCTGGCTTCGAAATCTCTGTGGCCTAGCACGACCTTGAACTTCTGATCCTTGTGCCTGTACCTCTGGAGTGCTGAGTTTCAGGTGTCTGTCACCACACCCCATGAAAGAGGTGGTGGGGACGAACCCAGGGCTTTCAGTATGCCAGGCACGCAAGGTATGCACGCTAACAACTGAGCATCAACTGAGTAGCCCCTTGGACTTTCTTTCTTTCTTTCTTTCTTTCTTTCTTTCTTTCTTTCTTTCTCTGGCTTTGGAAATTGATGTATAAACTATAAGTGAACTGCTTTAACGCAGGAAAGTGAAAAGACTTAAAAACGCATGGGCCTAAAGGCAGAATGCTTCTCTTGGGTATTGCACGTGTAGCTCTTCCCACATTTTCCTTCCCTACCGAATTGCCACATCATCAGTTCCTGAGAAGTGGTGGAAAGAACTGCTAGAACTTGGAAGGGCTTTTGAGGGCTTAGCCTGAAATTGAGGTAGTATGACCTGTTGAAAAAGCTTTGTCTATAAAACTATGATTTATAATTTTGGCATTGTGATTATAATTCATTTTTATTTTTAAATTCTTTGATATTTGATATTCATCTGAAAATACGCTTGAAGTCGTGTGCAAAAAGTTTCTTTCTTTGCCACTATAACCATGAAGATGCTTCTATTTTAAATTTTTTAATTACATTTAGTGTGTGTGTGTGTGTGTGTGTGTGTGTGTGTGTGTGTGTGTGTGTGTGTGTGTCTATATTTGTCTGTACTTGTACCACACAGTGCATAGGCAGAGACTAGAGGACATCTTTCAGAGTGAATTCTAAGATCAAATTCACATGGTCAGGCTTGGCAGCAAGAGCCCTTAAACCACTGAGTTTGGCCTGCCCCATTTTGTGCCTTTTGATATTAGAAACACTCCCCATTAAAATGAACATGCAGTATTTAAGACTACTAGTAAAATAATATAAATTTTTTTGTCTAGTGGCGTTGTTCAGCTAGGGATACTGATTTACTACAGGCAGAACATTTTTTTTTTTTTTTTCTGAGACAGAGTTTCTCTGTATAGCTTTTGGCTGTCCTGAAACTCACTTTGTAAACCAGGCTGGCCTCAAACTTACAGAGATCTGCCTGCCTCTGCCTCCTAAGTACTGGGATTAAAGATGTGCACCACGACTGCCTGGCTAGAACATTTTCTTGTCTAGACCTGATGTTTAAAAACTTTAATAAGTTTTTGTTTTGTTTTGTTTTTTTCGGGGTTGGTTCGAGACAGGGTTTCTCTGTGGCTTTGGAGGCTGTCCTGGAACTAGCACTTGTAGAACAGTCTGGTTTCGAACTCACAGAGATCCCCCTGCCTCTGCCTCCTGAGTGCTGAGATTAAAGGCATGTGCCACCACCGCCCAGCCAAAAACTCTAATAAAAGTTAAGTGCTCATTTTTATTTTATTTTCAGGGTCATTAGCAGTGGCTCAAGATCTTACAGAAGATGAAGAAACAGTGGAAGATTCGATAATTGAAGATGAAGATGATGAAGCTGAAGTAGAAGAAGATGAACCCACAGATTTGGTTAGTGCTATATACTGTATCTAGAATGTATATGATACATCTAGAAGATGGGTCCCCCCTGGATTTTGAGGTAGTCTCAATATAGCCCAGGATGATCCTAAACCCATGGTAGCCAGGGATGACCTTGAACTTCTGGTCGTCCTGCCTCTTCCAAGTACAGGAAATGATAGGGTCATAGGCATGTACTATGGTGCCATGTTTTATGTGGTGTCAGGGATTGAACCCAGGGCTTCAGGTATAGTGGGTAAGTACCTACCAACTGAGCTAGATAGTGAGCTCAAGAATATATTCTTTCTATAGGCATTATAATAATTTGGTAATTATTTTTTAAGTGATATGTATATGATATGTATGGGGGGTACTCGGATGTGAGTGCAAATGCCTGAGGAGGCCGGGGGTATTGGATCCCCTGGAACTGGAGTTACAGACAGTTGTGGGTTTTAGACATGGGTCCTCTGCAAAAGTAGTATGTGCTCTAAGCCTCTGAGCCATCTCCCCTGGGTTGAAGTTGACCTAAGGGCAAGTCACTGAGAATGAACAGAAGAATTTTCTGGAGTAGGGGAGGAGAAAAGATGTCCTGAACATGTCGAGATCATTTGTATATGAGGGAAGGAGGGGAAAAGTATAGCTCAGGTGTTCCTAGCAGACCCTGAGCTGTTACATTTGGAGCATATGGTGCTTAGCTTTCTAGGTCTGTCTTCTTTTTTTGTGCTTGCTCCTTTTCATTCAAAAACCTGCCATGGTTCCCGTGGGGACATCTCTCCATGTAGCAAGGCTCCGTTTTGGGTATTAGACTAAACAGGTGAAGTATTTCCTCTGCTTTCTTAAATGTTCTTGTGGGTCATGTGCATGTGTTTTGGGAGCAGGGGATGAAGGAAGAGTGGGTGATAAAGTAAACCTTATGAATATCTCTTAGAAGTTAGCTCTGAAATTTGTACTCTGTAATAATGATAACAAGAATATCTGTCTTAGAGGCAGAGAGATGGCTCTGCAGTTATGCATACTGGCTACTCTTCCAGAGGACCTGGGTTCCTTTTCCCTTCACCAACATAGCTGCTCACAAGCATCTGTAATTCCAATTCTAGGGGATCTGATGCCCTCTTCTGGCCCCCATAGGCACTGTATGCACATGCTCCACAGATTCACATACATGCAGGCAAAACACCCATACACACAACAGTTACAAACAAACAAACAAAATGCCCAGTTCAAATTAGTGTCATTGCTGCAGCATTCTTCCTGCTAATTTTACTCCTATCCAGGAATACTGTAATCACTCCTCCATAAAGTTTATTTTCATTTTTATGGATATGCCTGCCTCTTAAGCTGATGTTTTGCTCTTTTTTGGGAGGGCAGGGAGTTAATGTTTTGCTGTATAGGCATGGTGTTTCATCTGAATAGAATACCCCTAATTTTTATGCTTTGCTGGTTCCTACCGCCTTTAAGAGACATTTACTGGCGGTCTGTGCCAAGCCTTACACACAGAAGCTCTGCATCTTCACCCTGTTTCATTAGAGGAACAGCCTTGAATAGATCACCTGTGCTACCTGCTCTCTCCTCTGCTTGTGGAGGAGGTCTGGGATACACAGACGAGTCTGCTGTTTCACCAGGTAGTAGGCACTGGGCTTTCTATTTCTTTGTAACATGTGGTAAATCATAAGTTTAGTTACCTTCCTTTCACATGCTTTTTCTGATTCTAGCTACGCTTCCAAACATTGCTTGCTTTAACTCCTTTGTCAGTCCTCTGGCAGCAGTGTTGGCTTTGGTGTCAGAAAATGAGGGCCTTCAACAGTCAACTATCGGGGTTCTACTTGTGTGCCTTTTCCCTACAATGAGGTGTTCTCACTCTAATGATGCTACAGGATACTTTGCTTTGTAACTTCGGGCTGTGGTCTTTCTCATTGGCATCCGGGCCTGGAGCTGCACACATGCAGATCTACTGACTGTCTTCCCATCTTCAGTTGCTACTTGCTTTTACCTTTGCTGGTGCCAGGTACTTTCTGAAAGAGTAATCTGTACTTTTCCCTCTTTCTTTAGCTTCCTATTCATTACCCATCAGGAACCATCCTATTTGTGTACTGAAAGTTGCTAAGGTCACCAGTAACCTAATTGCTAAATTCCTGGCCCATTTTCCTGGTTGTATAGTTCAGGCCATTTTTAACATTTGGTGTTTGCGCTTTGAATCCCATTGTGTTGGGCTCTGTGGCACCCCTTTTCCTTTCCTGCCTGTTTGCTGCTGGATTCTCTCTGCTACCTTCTTCTGCTTACTCCCTAATGTTGGTAAAACCTGATTTTAACCACTGCAGCCTTCTACTGATGGTGTTCAGGTCTCCTCTCTAGCCCCTTGCCTTGAGTTCCACAGATATTTCCACCGCTTTGCAGGATAGCACCACTTCCAATTTCATAGGCCCACTATGGAGTCTGGTGCTTACTAGTCTATCCTTCCATCATAAGTGATTGTCTGCTTTTATGTAGCTCCAGCAGGTTGAACTGTTGCCTTATTCTTCTCTTCTATTCTGAAGTTCCTTAATTATTCTGAAGTTCATTAATCGAATCTTAATTGCTCTCTCTCTCTCTCTCTCTCTCTTTTTCTTTTCCCTCAAGTATTCGTTGTTACTTTATTCTTACAGAATTTGTTAGCCTTTCAGTCTCAGGTATATTTACCTACTTGCATCTTGTATTTGAAGACACTGTATTGTCTAAGCTCAATCAAGCAGTCCTGCCTCTCAGCCTTCAAAAGTCATATCGTGCCTTGTGTATTCTTCTGTCTCTGTAGAGGAGTGTGTGTCCACCATTACCATACCATTTCAATGATATTTGACTGGTTGTCATGAGGAAAGTTAATTGGAAAGGAAATCTTTCTGGGCTGTTAATAAGGTACTTGAGAATAGGGCTGGGTAAAATGTGGTTACTGACCAAATCCCGCTCTGCTCATCCATTTATTGTCTGGCTGTTTTCACACAGCAGCAGCACAGGTGAGTAGTGACAAGGAGAGGAACCTTATTATGGTCCTACCTGAGAAGCAGCTAGCTTGCCAGTCTCTGTTCTAGGGACCTTGCAATTCAAAGTGTGGCTGTACTCCTATCCATGATGGCATTTCCTGGATGCTTGTGAGAAATTGAAACAGAATTTCAGTCTTTACCTGAGGTAGAGCTACCAAATTCCCAGTGACTTACTGTGTACATTTTTCATGAGCTGTTCTAGAAGTTCTATTTAATTGATGAAATAGAACAAAATAACACCATTATACTTACTTGGCAGGAGAGATGCAGTGATCCGGGAGGTGGCTTTCCCAGTTAGGAGCTCTTTCTTCCATTGCACTTGGGATATGCTGACCAATGATTTCCTCAGTGCAGGAAACTCCACTATATAAATTGTGATAGTGGGGGACTGTGTTTGTGCTCTCCTCTTAAAAATAAGAAAGAAATTTTCATACCACCAGTACCATCAAATCAGTATTTTATCCAAGTCTAGTGAAGTCTGTACTTCAGTGACTTTTTCTCACCTCTTTCACAGCATCTGTTTTTGATGTTGTTGCCCCTAGGCAGAAGATAAAGAAGAAGAAGATGTGTCTGGGGAACCGGAAGCCTCACCAAGTGCAGACACAACTATCTTATTTGTAAAAGGAGAAGGTAATTGTCTGTTTAATTCCAACCTTACGTATATGAATGCTGGTGTGTGTTGTAATGCTGGTATTTAAATGGAAAACTAAGTGTATTTGGTTTACTAGAAGTTAAAAAAACTGTGTGTGTATGTGGTATAGATGTGCCTCTGGGAGCATTGGAGGCTTGAGGGTGACTTGCAGGAGGCCTGTCCTCCTCTTGTAGGTTCTCGGCATCAAACGCATCAAAGTCAGACTCGCCAGCACTTTTACCACACAGCCATCTTACCAGCCCCATAAGTATCATTCTTGAAACTTTTTCCAGGTTGTGTCAGTAATGCCGTTTTGTTTTGATGGCTTGAGTTTAATCCCTGGAACCCATGTTAAAGAGCCAGCAATCGAATGGAAAGGCCAGTTAGGTAGGGCGGTTCACTGGGGATGTGGGGCAGCTAGCTGGATTAGGCAGCATTGCAGAAACAAGAGGGCCATTTCCTGAGCTAGTGAAGGGAGAGCTGATTGCCACAAGTGGTTCTCTGCTCTGTGTCTGCATCCAAACTCACACGGGGTTTATTTTTTTGCTGATATTGAACTCAAGGTCCTCCTGCCTCCCAAGTGTTGGGATTACAGGCATATATCATCAGGCCTGTCTGGAATTTGGTGGTATTTTTTGAATATTTAAGTATCAGTAGAATACTAAATGTCTACAGTTAGGCCCTGGTTACAGCATAGCATTAATTTTATAAAAGAAAATTAAGGGTGCGTATTTCTTGCTCCAAATGCATAAGACCAGAAGTAGTTTGGGATTTTGTTTTTGTTTTTTTTTTTAAAGAATATTTTATATATATAATGAACTGTTTGTATGGTGGAGTTTGTTTCGTGTACACCTCATCACTCGGAGACTTGGATTTTCCACTTGTAGCATCTTGTTGACCCACGAAGGTTTAGATTTTGGAGCATTTCCAATCTTCCAGTTAGGGCTACTCAAATTCTTGACTACATTTATTTATTGAGGGCTTTGTGGATAGCATCGTTCTTTATACTTTGCAGTGCTTATCTAATCTCAGCAAACCCTGAGGATGTAGTTATTGTTGGTCTTGGGTTTAGAGGGGTTAAGAAACTTGTTCTGTGGTACTCGGAACATAAAATACATTGCAGAGACAAGGTTCAGACCCAGATTGTCTGTTCTGTGGCCTGTGTTGTACTAGGTGGAGTTCAACACATTAGACTGTCATCCAGTATAATGGAAGACTTAACAGAAACCACCAATGTTTTGGTATTGAGTGCTCTGTTTTCTATATATTCCAATTTTATGCATACAAAAAGTGATTTGATTACTGGAGATGTACTCAGTAGTTCTTTGCATACCTAGTATGTACAAAGCTCCTGTTCTATTCTCAGCACTTAAGAAAAGGGAATTTGAGTGTGTGATATATTCCTCCCCACCCCCCATTTATTGTTGTAGTAGCATACTGAATTATATAAACGTGAATGGTAATCTTGCTGCCACGGTTTTCTTAGCCCTTTAATCTAGATGTGATTTGGCTGAAATTACAATGCCCAGTTTATCTCCTAAATTGGGATCCCAGAGAATAGATAGAAGATTTTTAGCTTGTGCTATAGCTCTGATTATTAAAGCTAGTTAGTATGCAGTCACACTAGAGTGCCCTGGTGAAGAGAATTCTGAAACCAACTCCTTGTCTGTGTTTCATTTTAAACTCTGAATATGTTCTGATCCCACCCCCCACCCCTTCTATTTTTGTGTCTTAGATTTTCCAGCAAACAACATTGTGAAATTCCTGGTAGGCTTTACAAACAAGGGAACAGAAGATTTTATTGTTGAATCGCTGGACGCTTCATTTCGTTATCCTCAGGACTACCAGTTTTACATCCAGAATTTCACAGCTCTTCCTCTGAACACTATAGTACCACCGCAGAGACAGGCAACTTTTGAGTATTCCTTCATTCCTGCAGAGCCAATGGGGGGAAGGCCTTTTGGTCTGGTCATCAATCTGAACTACAAAGATTTGAACGTAAGACCTTATGAGTTGTATATTGTTTTTGTTAGAGACTACAGGGAAAGTGGCCATTGTTGAATAGTTTTCTGTCTGTGTAAGTGCTTATTTGGTGGTTCAAACTATAATAGGCACCAGGAATACAAACGGAACCGCCTGTCTGTCTCTAACTACATTAAATGAGGGAGATGGCCAAAAATAAGCAGTAACATAGTGATAAGTGTGCATACCTAAGCTGTGTGCCAGTAGGTGCTGCCATGTGTGTGGGAAAGTGACTTGAGCTGGATCTTGACAAGGGCACGTAAGTGTGCTGGGGAGTCTGCCTCTTATATGCTGTTGAATAGTAAGATGTTTGTTCTGTCCCATTTTGTTGTAGACCTTTTGCCCATTTAAATGCTTCCGAAGACTTTGTTACTGTTTTGCTCTTTTGTATACTCATAGGTAAAATACAACCCACTTTTAAATACAGTTTTAGCAGCAGGGTTTATATGTTAGTTTCACTTAGCCTAAGAGGAATCCACCACTGCAGGGAGTAGACCCCAAGTGACAGTTCTTACATTCTCTATTACACCAGACTGGGTTTATACCATTCCCTATCCCAAGAGCTTCCTTTGAGGAGTGGGTTCCACCTTCCCTCACCCTGTGATTGTCTTCACCCGTGTCTTCAGCTAGGTCCTACGTTGTGATTAGTACAGAGGAAAAGCTTCTTCTGTCTTCAGTGACACTTAAATACCTAAAGAGTTGTTTCGTTTTATGTCTGGCATTTCATCTTGTTTTCAAGTAGGACTGAACTGAGTTCAGGTTCCGTTTCAAATAGCTGTGTTTGCAGAACAGCTGTGTGTGTCTGGTACCCACCTGTATTGGAAAACTGAAGTTTTGTTAAATTTTCAAAAAAAAATTTAAGATGATAATGGAAAAAGTACTTTGGAACTGGAAATAAGTCACTGGTCCATCCTTAGAGTGGAATTGGTTTCATTCCAGTTTTAGTTTGGAGCATGGGCCTGACTCCTGCCAGTGCTCTATGACCTTCACTGCTGTCCTGGCTCCTGAAGCCACCATCTCTCTGCCCCCTGCAGAAATTAGAAGGTGGTCTTGGCAAGTTTCTAGGCATTTTTATTTTATAGGAGAAATGGCATCATAAGGTTTCATACCTGGCATTGGCAATTACATATGGCTTTGTTATCCCTTATGACTAAATGATGGGAAAGTTAAGTTTAGTAGGGTAAAAGTTTTGAGAACACTTGTAGTTTTTATTCTTTCAGCACAACTCATACATGATTTTTAACATCTGTTTCTTGAACAGGGCAATGTTTTCCAAGATGCTGTCTTCAATCAGACAGTTACAGTTATTGAAAGAGAGGACGGGTTAGATGGAGAAACGTAAGTAAAGCTGTACCTGTAGATCTGGAACTCTCAGATTGAGCTGGAAGGCAGTGTACTCAGATCGCAGACTATCTTGAAATGGACAGAATGTAATGGTCCTTCCATATCTGGTGAAATACCACAGAATCCATACATTATGTGCTTCTGGTGGTGGTGGTGCTGCTGCTGCTGCTGCTGCTGCTGCTGCTGCTGCTTCTTCTTTTCCTTCTTTTTTTTCTTTCCTCCTCCTCTTCTTCCTCCTCCTCCTCCTCCTCCTCCTCCTCCTCCTCTTTCTCCTCCTTCTTCCTTCTTCTTCTTCTGGTGCCTATTAATACAAGTCAGGAAAGATGGTTGAAACTGAAAAAAAAAATGCTTTTACAAAGGCAGTAATTGACTTTTTGTCTTCCAAGTTCCTTTCTGCTCTAGTTGAGCCTTAATCTATCTAACATGTCTCTAAGATAATTATACATATTAGGTTTTTTTTCTTGAAAAAATTTTTTCTGAGTGAAGAATCATTTGTGAACTTAAATGTGACTCACTTGAAGGGTTCTATAAGGCCAGTTGTGAAAAAGGATATAAATGTGACGTGAATAAAACTGCTGAAATTGTCTTAAACTGTGAGTTTGAAATAAAACACCTTTTAGATAGTAGAATTTTTTATTGGCAAAGTATTCTTAACTATAAATAAAAGGAAGTTTTAATTAAAATGTTGTATTTCTTTTTCCTACACGTTATTTGGAAAGTGTTGTAGCATATGTTGGGATTTTGTTTTTAATAGGTATGGTATGTATAAATTAACTCCAGCTATATTTTCTTTTTTTTTTTTTTTGTGCCAGAATTTTTATGTATATGTTCCTTGCTGGTCTTGGGCTTCTAGTTGTTGTTGGCCTTCATCAACTCCTAGAATCTAGAAAGGTAATTATGAATGAACAGATGGAAAACTACACTCAGAAGTTGTTACAATAGTACTAACTATGCTGTAGTTCTTACTGTAGTTTTGTAGACTTGGTACATTGTTGTACCTTTTTAAAACAGTACCTAGAGATGAGACTTTGGGTACGTGACTTGAATTTGTTGAGATGTGTGCACAAATCCAGCTAGTGTGCTATTTACCCTCTCCTAAGTGATCTTTACTGTTTTACTGTAATTTTCCTTGAGTTCAAAAGATTTTCTTCCACCTAATACATACATCTCATGGATGGGTTGGATTATCTGTAATTAACCAATTTATTTGGGTTAGAATTCTTAGTGAGAGAGGCTACTTTTTAATGTGTTCAAAATTTATAAACTACGTAAAAACTGTTTAAAATAGATTATCAGAGTTTCTACCTGCCAGGCAAGCATTCTACACTGAACTTTAACTATAGCCCTTGGTTTTTGAGACAGGGTTTTTCTGTGTAGTTCTGGCTGGTCTTAAAGTCCAGTGTCGCTCAGTCTGTCCTGGCATCATCCTCCTATGTCCTTCAAGTGCTGGGATTCCCCACAGAATTTTGATACAGTCTTATGATACAGATCTGGCTGGCCTGGAGTTTACTATGTAAACCAGGTAGAGAAGACCCAAAGAGATTCACCTGCCTCTGCCTTTTGGGTGCTGGGACTAAGCAGCTTCCTGCACAGATTTTTGATTTTTAAGTTTCAGAGCAAGACTAAAAATGGAATTAAATCGGTTTTATGTTCCAGTGTTGCAGCAGATAAGCTATAGAGAAAGTCTTTCCCTCATTTGTTTTGGTTTTTTGAATTGTTTTTGAGACAGGGTCTCATGTAGCCTATTGTGACCTTGAACTTGCTATGTTGCTAAGGCAGGCCTCTCCCCACATTATCCCTGTTATATATACATACATCCCACTTGTGCCTTGAAAATTCATGCTCTTAATGAATTCATTATTGTCAGCCTATGTGAGATTTTTGTGTGTTTTTTGGGGTTTTGTGTGTGTGTGGGTGTGTGTGTGTGTGTGTGTGTGTGTGTGTGTGTGTGTGTGTGCCTAATTTTTTATTGCATTTAGCTCCCAATGAAAGATTGCTTACAACATTTCAATAATTATCCTGAATTTCATTGATTGGAGTATTTTTATTATTTGATTCCCAAATGGAAAGAAAATTATTGGGTAACTAGTGTTCTTATGTCATCTGTCAGTGGTATAACAACAAGTTAAGCTCTTTACACGCTGGAAATAGTCAAGATTTATTTTTCTTTCTTTCTTTTTTTTTTTTTTAAGATTTATTTATTATGTATACAGTGTTCTGCCTACATGTATGCCTGCTGGTCAGAAGGGAAAAACAGGACACATTATAGATGGTTGTGAGCCACCATGTGGTTGCTGGGAATTGAACTCAAGTCCTCTTGAAGAGCAGTCAGTGTTCTTAACCTCTGAGCCATCTCTCCAGCCCCCAAGCTTTATTTTTCTAATGCATTTTCCCATTACCTCTATTTTTGGTTGGGCAAGTATACATGTGCATTCACACATGTGCACTTTGGCACATGTGAGGCAGTCAGACGTCAACTTGTAGAAGTTGATTCTTCTATCATTTGGGACCCTGGGGCCAAATGCAGGTCATCAGGCTTGGAGGCAAGTGTATTTACTCACTAAGAAGACATGTTTTTATTCTTCTAGCAGATAGGATATATGTTAGGATGTTTTAAAACAAGAAAAGAATGTAATTTGTCTTCTAAGATACTCAAATTATATATGTTGATTAATGTTTTTAAAACTAGAATATGCTGTGAAATGCTTTTAAATGCCTTTAAAATATGTCTTTTATGTTCTTGTAGCGAAAGAGACCCATACAGAAAGTAGAAATGGGTACGTCAAGTCAAAATGATGTTGACATGAGTTGGATTCCTCAGGAAACTTTGAATCAGATCAGTAAGTAGCCTTACAAACTTCATGAGAAATGTTTCTCCGATTGGAAATTAAATAGTTTTGATTCAGCAGAAAAATGCTTGATCAATACTAGTTAACATTTATCTTTGCTATTACTTGTCTAGACTTTAGTATAATGATTAGTGAATCACTTAAAGATTTGTTCTGTTTCTAGTGTTTTTATGATTTAATTTAGAAGTGCTTTCAACCATGCAGCCTGTTTGTAAATATCTGAGTTCTTTCTAATCTGTTTCCTGTCTTTTTTCCTTCCTGTTGCTTCAGTGCAGAGTAGAAGAGGTGAGGTGATGAATTTCATCATTGGTCTTTGCTACAGTTTTTGGAGCTCTTGCATAGTGCATGAATACAGCAAGTTTAATAATGGAACTGTATTTTGGGGGAAACTACTACAAACTTTAAGTACTTTGGAGTTAAATTTTTTCCTTAGGCTTTGCTTGTTTTGTTTTGTTCCCAGGCCTTTATGGGAAGTAATGGTAAATTTTTTTCCTTTGGTAGCTGAAAAGATCATAATCCACATCTGTGATTGCTTTTTGTTTAAACAGAATGCTTTTTCTGCTGTTAAGGTATTTGAAACTATTTTACCCAAAACCAGATGACTCCAGAGTGCTGTCTCCCAGGCATCTTTCCCTGTCTGCTTCCTAACCTACCTAAGCAGGTCATCATGGTGAAGGCTAGCTGAATTGGCTGTCTTTCATGGAATTTCATTCAAGAATTGAAACATGCCTCAAAAGACCTGGACTTTTTCTTTTTCTTTCACACATTACCATGCTGCAGGTATTGGGATTTCATAATCCCTTATTAGCACTAACTGCTTACAGTGATAATGTTAGATCCGCAGTTGCTTTTGAATTTTCAGAGATTAAATATTCAGCTTTATTATTTTACTTATTTTTAGAAATTATTTGGAAATTGGCCACCTAAGAAAGAAAGTAGTACTTAGTCTGATCTTTGGGGAAAAAGCTGAAATGTTTTCATCACTAGGAAAATGTGTCTTTGGTTAAAAGTGAGATTTTTAGGCCAAAAAAAAAAAAATCCTCCTTCAGGCATTGTTTATGGGACTTGTAGATTTCAGTTTTAATAGACTTTTATTTGTTTGTTTTGATTTTGTTTTTTCAAGACAGAGTTTTTCCGTGTGACAGTCCTGGTTGTTCTGGAACTCACAGATCCACCTGTCTCTGCCTCCCGAGTGCTGGGATGAGAGGCGTGCACCACCTTCCCGCTAGTCTTCAGATACTCTTGATAGACATTTATTATAAAATGTATCCTGAGCTGGTAAATTTTTAAGAGAAAGGATGTTAGGCATATCCTTTTTCATCTTATAAATACTTCTAAATAAACCTCACACCTTGGTGAAAGTATCTTTTTCCAGTTTTTTACTTTTTTAATCTACAGAAATCATTTGGTGGTGATGGGGGGATGACAGGATCTTGTATATTACCCAGCTCGACTTGTACCTGACTTCAAATGATCTTCCTGCCTCAACAGTTAGCTCATGTCACCAGACCATATACATTTTCTTTACTTTTTTGGGGGGAAAATAATAGCATATTTTACAGTAAGCTATTCTTGGTACACAGAGTGCTCTTAGAAAATTAGGAGAGGATATGTCAAGCCTTTTTGGTTTTGTTTGTTTTTTGGTTATGAAACAGCCTTATTAGATACAGTCCAGGCTGGCCTCAAATTCAACTTCCCCAGTACTGAAGTATGTACCACTGTACCCATCTTGGGCCTCTTTTTTTTTTTTTTTTTTTTTTTTTAAAGAAACTTACAGATTAGTTTATAGAATAGGAGAAACTCAACACCACATGTACTTCTGTTAAATTCTAAAGAGAGGCTGTGTGTTGGAGTGGTTTTAGTACTAGTGTCCTTTGCTTGCTTCTTCCAGTTAAATTTGTATAGTTGCCAAAACCTATGTATCCAAAAATACTAAATCTTGTATTAGTGCCCAACATAAATATGCTCCAAATATGTCACATCTTCTAAATGCTTGTACTTGTTTTTTAAACAGAATCTCATAGTAGCCCTTGCTAGCTTTGAACTTCTAATCTTGCTTTCATCTCCCAGGTGCTGGGATGTGGACCACCTTGCCTGGGTCTTTTATAGTATTTTGAAATTCTTACTTTTGCTTGTATAAGCATGTTATAGAATGTGCATGATGGCTACAGTAGTACAGCTACCATTGTCAGATTATTTTCTACATTAGGTATGAAAATTTTATTTTAATTGGTATTACCCTTGAAGGATATTTTTAAACTTGGTTTAAAAACCTACAGCTAGGTAAGAGGCATTTGTTGCCAGATGGTGCTCTCACATTCGTGTGTGAGTACCTGTATTAAGTTTACTGCTATCTAAGAAGGCAAAACGCTCTTGAGTTAGCATCTTCCTTGTTCTTTCTTTCAGATAAAGCTTCTCCAAGAAGGCTGCCCAGGAAGCGGGCACAGAAGAGATCGGTGGGATCTGATGAGTAAATGTTCTGTGTGCAACAGTTCAGTCTGTGCTTCCCCTGCCCTAATGTGTTTCGGCCTGATGGGAATTAGTGCAGAGAAGCCATATCACCACAGAAGGCAACTACTGCTTAGGTGTGGACTGAGCAATCAGAGTCTGTGGCGATACTATTGCTGAAAAAGCACTGCATTTGGTTTTCTAAAGTAACAAATTTGGTTGTTTTGTTTTTTCTTTTTTTTTTTAAACCATTAAACTGTGTGGGTGTGAATGTCTGAGCAGTTGTCTTACCAGAATCACTGTTAAACTACCTGAAACACGCCTTTAGAATACTCAGCAAAACGCTGTTGCCGCTTCCCTTGTGATATTTTCTGATTTTTGCCCCCAAGCTCAATTAATGCTTGTCCCCAGTGTGGTTTTAGATGTTCTGCCATGAATTATTTTGAGGAAACAATTTGTTTATTTCTTGGAATCTATCAAATCCAAACGGATGGCACAAACTGGCCTTTTGCTTGCTGTCTGCTGCAGCTTCTATTCTAAAGGCAGGAGCAGGAGTGGCTGCTGTCTGAGCAGCAGAGGCATGTTGGCTGCTTGCTGCTGTTTACTGTGTGCACACCTTCAAGAACTTACCAATGGAGTCAAGGAACTTTGGAATCTCTAGCAACAAAATTGTAAAACCTGACAATTCTACTGATGCTGGTATATAAATCCTAATTCCACGCCTGTTTTTTGTTTTTGTTTTTGTTTTTTAACAAAAAATAGTCTGTCTGTGCAAACTGGGCTGTTGTGTTGTCTATCGTTGTGTGTGATCTGGGAGAGCTCTGGACTGACCTCCTTTCTTTGCTTCTTTGCTTGTTTGTTGTTGGCTCTAACAGAGTGTTTGTTCTTAGGAATCGGCCTAAGAGAAATTATCCTGGTCTACAGACCAAGGGGATCCAATTTTAGAGGCAGGGATACATTTTAGTTAATCCTAGTCTACAAGACCATTAATTGGAAAGTTTCAAGGTTACGAGGTTTATCTTTTAACCTGATCTTTGGGGTTTTTTTATTGTTGACCTACTTTTTGTCTTTGTTGGTGTGAAAAATTCCAAAACTTTAAGCACTTAGGACTTCAGGACCAAAATTAAGTTGGTTTTGCTAACAATCCCTTTAGTCATTCTTGCCTGAACTAGTGAATTAAGTTTGGCATTATTGTCAGACTTACTAGAAATTAAAGTAACATTGAGTGTGAATGGGCAAGAGGCTTCCCTCCTTTTTAAGCCATATTCTCCCTGTGTGTATTACAAGAAAGTGCTAATTTCAGTAGTGTTTTATTCCTGACTTTTTCCATTTTCATCCAGTCCCTTCCCCACACACCTAAAGGAAAACAACAAAATACATAAACAACTTGTAAGCTGTTTAACATGTGAGCCAAAGGCAATAACCATAGAAGGTTTTCTGTAATTGTTAATCACTTTGCAAAGGGGGCTGAAATGTCAAATTGCCTGTATTTGCATTGCTGGACTGTAAACTTTTTATGCCTGTAATATAATGTGTGTGGGTTTTTAATTGAGGTGTATAATGAGTTTATTTTGAAAAGGTTCTTTGAGGCCTGAGGAACTGTATGGTTTTTGACTCGATGTAATATAGGAGACCCTTCTCATTCTCAAGAAACATTTTCCAGAACCTTCTGTGAATATCAAAGTTTGTTAGCTACTGTAACATGCTACAGTAAGGTATAAGTAATTAAAACCTTTAAATGGCCCGTAGAGTTTGACTAAACACCTGGTAGAAACATTGGCAGTTGCAGAAACCACACTTACAGCTGCCACGCTCTTATCCCGGAGTAAATTGCCTTATACACCAGCTCTTTGTTTCTGAGGCCCAGATTAGAGCCTCAGGAGTGTAGAATGTATTACTTTTTAGTGGAGACTAGGGACAGCTGATAACTCGAGTCTTCAAGTGCCAGGCGTCTACTATAGCATCAGTAAGTATTTAGCAGAAACTAACTCCATAATGAATGGAATTCAATTCCACACATGGTTTGTTCAAGCACACTTAATAAGTAGTCTACTTTTAAATGTCTTTTTAAAATGTAAATATTTGGATGAAGCGCTTTTTTTGTTTGTTTGTTTGTTTGTTTCAATATAGTCATTTGCATCATCAACCTTGGTTTCAGAATTTATCTTTTGAGCAAGTGGGTTTCAGAAATCTGTTAAATGAATTTATGGATCATGTTTATCAAACCTGTGACCCAGACCTTTGAGAATAATTTGTCATAAAGCATGATCCCACTCTGGATGTATAGCTTCATCATTTGAATCATGTTTTGTAGTAAGGGACTTTGGGACTGATAAAGTGTCCACTGAAATGTTGCCTGAGGAGTTTGGCAAGGAGAAATGAGACTTTGTAAAAAGCCTAAGGGGAAAGAGCCAAGTAGAAATGAGAAGTAGCAGGGACAACAGAAAATAGAGCTTTGATAGGTGGTATGGCCAGTTCCATCAGCCTAGAATTGTTAGGGAGAGAGGCGGGTGAAACAACATTGGAAAGTCATGCTAAGATTTTGGAGGTATAGTAGATGACATTGCATTCATCTTTTGTAGTACACAGGTGTTCATACTCTTGGTATAAAGGGAATGTGCTTGGTAGTGCATTTGAGTCATGAATTTTGTTTTTAGATGGGGTCTTACAGCCTTGCTCAGGATGGTCTTGAAATCCTACAGTATGGTATGAAATAATTTTAATTTAGCTCAGAGCAATATATATATATATATATGCTCTCATCAAGATGTTGATAGGCTAGACCTTTGGTTTTTCTTTGATTTCCAAAATTCTAAGTTAGCTTAAATTAAGACTATTTCTAGATACAGTTGAAATACTTACACAGTGTTGGGTGGCATTTATAGCCATAGAACTAGTCCTTCCTTACTCAGCTTATCGAATAGCAATCTAAAGGTCACATTTCTTGATAGCAGTGTGTGTGTATGTGTGATGTTGGGTTTCGTGGTTACGCTAGTCTGTTCCAGAGAAAATTTTCTGTGCAGAGTACTACCTAAGAAGGGAGAACAGGGCTTAGCAATTATTGCAGATAGCTAAGCAATAGTTGCTTCAGGGCATTAAATTAGTTGATATTTGCATGTTTTTTTTTTTCCTTTTTCATTTACACGAAACCTAGGCTTACCATTCTATCTCAAGTTCTCGGGGTCTTTTCTAGATGTCAAAATGTGTACAATTCTGTATAAGCTGGTACCCTGTAGTTGCCTTTGTAAGGGAGTGGGAAGGGAAGCTTATTTGTTGAGCATGAGTCATGAGGATGTATTCTGTGTGCCCTCTTGTTCGTGAACCTTCACAACAGCTCACTGGGGAAGCTGCATTGCTCTCACTTAGTACATGGAAAAAGTCGTTGAATTTAAGTGACTCGGAGGCTGTATATTAAGTACGACTTCAGAGATGTCATCTTTAAAAACCTCAGTGTTCTTTCCCTATACTCCAGACAACATGGAAATTTTATAGAAACCAAGCATTTGGGCAGCTTACAAATACTCATTTTCCAGAATCCAGCAGCTAGAAAGTTGAGATAGTCTTTGTACTGAATATCCAGCGTGAGCTTGTACCATGTACACATTGAACACTCTTGCCACTTTCATAGGCACTGCAAGAATGCATCTTTGCTTGTGTCTCCTTAGTAAAGAATTTCTTTGGTTCTTTAAAAGCATCTTCTGGCACTGTGTGGTGGTGCACACCTGAAATCCCAGCACTGGGGAGACAGAAATAGAAGAATCATAAAGTTCAGCCTGGCCACATAGCAAATGCCTGTTTCAAAAAACAATTTGTTTGGATTGTTTGAATTTTTTTAGCTGACATAACCATATTCGTGTTAGAGATGTAATAGCTGCTTGTATTATACAGGCAGGTGGGGACAGGGCTAGGGTTTCAAGACTTCTGATCTAGTTTCTATTTACTTTGGGTTTTCTTTAGGCACAATAAGACATTGCAAAGAAAATCTGGTGTTCCTGGAAAACCCAAAGGATAGGTCTTTAGTCTTCAAGGCACAGAGGTAATTTATGCCTATTTTGTTCTTTGCTTTCCCTTATACAGACTTCTGTAGGAGCCTGTGACAGTTATTCCTCCTATTGTCACATCTCCCTCTGCTAGATTGTGAGCCCCAAGATTTGTGCATTGACAGCCCCTAGTTCAGTTGGGTAGAAACCTGTTAGTGCCTAAAGAAGCAACAAGGGTGAAGGCTGGTGGATCTCTGAGTTTGAGGTTAGCCTAATCTACTTAGTGAATTCTAGGCTAGCCAGAACTACATAGTGAGACCCTGTCTCAAGAAAAAAAGGCAACACGGACTGGGAACATAGCTCAGTTGACAAGGGCCTTGCAGGTATGAGGACTTGGGTAAGGATAACACCCAAGGTTGTCCTCTGGTCTCCATACACCTGCAGTCTGAAGCATTTAGACAAGAGGATGAGAAATACTGAAGATTGGTGTACATAGAGTGTAGCGCTTACTTCGTGTGCACATGACCCTGAGTGACCCTGAGTTCTGTTCTTAGCACTAATAAATAAAAGTGTTCAAGTCAGATTTATCAAGCACTTGCTCCGAGTTCATTTGAAGATGGTCATCAGCCATGCGACATAGCCTATGGGAGTCTGGGACACCCTCTTCTGTGTTCAGTTGCTGCCTAGAACTTGATGGAGGTATAAGGAAGGTGTAAGGTGTACCAGATGAATGTGTGCCCATCATGCACACAGTAGGCTCTTCTGTGTTCTAGTGGCAATAAGTCCTGCAGATACTCCGGCTTCCACTGTCTATCTGCTTTTTCTCCTTTGTCAGAATGTCCCCTGTGCTGCTGGCCTTTCAATACTTCAATTTTCTCCTGACTTAGCTCTGCCTGGGCAAAGCCTGCTCTTCTAGGATCCTGTGGCACATCACGTGGCCAGAGCCACCTTCATTCGGTTCCCTGGTCTCCACCAATCCCAAGTCCACTTTTCCGTCTGGGGCCATGCTGTTAGACGATGGCTAGCTTCAGCACTTGAGCATCTCTCACCACCATTTCATGTTTTGTGTTGTTGAGGTTGCTTATTTCAGTCCTTCAGGGCTTTTCTAACTGCCTGTGGCCCATTAGTCTCTTTCTGGGCCAGTGACATGTTTACTCTCCTCCATGGACCTCTCTCCAGCTCTGTGTCACTTTTTAGCATCACGACTCCCCTCTTATCTAGCCTTAATGAGTGATTGACAGCTAACCCTAGCTCTGCTGTGAATTAACTTTAGGTTTCAGTTCTTTCTGAGATAACCTCTGATTCAAAACAACACTTTTTCTGTTTCCCGGTCCCCTTCGGGGGATGGAGCTGCTATTTTAACTTAGTGCTTACCCCCTTGTGGTTTCCCACCAAGTGCTTCAGGCAAGCTCATGATTGGGAAACTTTAAGTGTTCTTTGATCAGTGAAAGCGGGGGTAATGAACCAGTAATTCCCATGCAGCTTCCATGTACATTCCTCTTGAGTGTTGAGATGACTGCTAAGTCTGGTGAGCCTAAGACGTAAAGGTGCCTGTCTAGCTCTGGAACTGCTTTGCCTCTGTCTCCAAGGTACACCCATGATTACAGCTGATCAGGAAAGTATTGCTGCCATATAAAAACTTTCTCAAGCACTAGCCCATGTCACTGGTTGATCTTGAGAGATGAGGTACGCAAAGATATCTAAAATACTAAACAGAAGAAAAAGGAAAAGCAATGGTCTGAGCATGGTGGCACATGCCTTTTATCTCAGTACGTGGGAGGTAGAAAGAGGTAGGTGGATCCCTTGAGAGTTCAGGCCAGCCTGCTCTATGTACTGAGATTCTGTCTAAAAGCAAATTTGATCGTGATTTTGTTTGCCCAGAATTGTTTTTTAAAAGTTAATATATTCTCTACATACAAAAATGTTGCCATTCCAGGTAACAAAGTAGTATTGTAGAATTAAGAGGACTACCAATGAATTTCATACCAAGCTTGATGATACAGGTCTTTAGTCCCAGCTGAGGCGGAGGACCATGACCTCTAGGCCTGCTTGGGCTGTGGGGTGATTTCAAGGCCAGCCTGGGCAACTTAATGAGACCCTGTGTGAATAGAGCTGAGGGTGATGCTCAGCAGTAGAGAGGTGTTTAGGGTGTATGATTTGGGGTGATGCTCAGCAGTAGAGAGGTGTTTAGGGTGTATGAGGCCCTGGGTTCCAGCCACAGCCCTACACATGCTCCTGTGTACGCATGTGCATTCACACACGCGTGCATATGTGTGCACACACTTCGTGCATGCTGCCAGGCTGTTGACTTTGCCTATCATGGTCGTAAAAGATACATGAGGGTTCAAAGACACAGTAGCCCCCAGATGTCCCTCCAAGCTCTGCTTGGCACAGTCACGCTGTATGTTCCTCACAGGAAGGTCACTTGACTACAGGCTGCCAACTTGGAGAATCTGACTTTATAACTCATGTTTTCAGTCTCCTGAGAAAGAAAAACTTGCTCTGAAGATCAGAAAAAGCAAGGACTGCACGAACCAGTATTTTAATGTTTTCCTCTAAATGCTTGGAACAGTATTAAAGTTCAGATTAACCTTTAAATGCTAAACCTAGGGAGAGACATACCAAAATGCTGATGCAGTCTTTGTGCTAGGGTGGGGAATTCTTTTCCTTTTCAAAATGTTTGTAAAGTGCTTATATTTTATAATGAAAGCAATAAATATGAATGTTGACTTTATCTGGGCCTCCAAAGATGAGTGTGATCCTCAAAGCAGTTGCAGATAGCTTTTGTGTAGCCAAAAAATAAAAAGTGAGCCAATGCCTAAAATTTGTTATCACACTTCCTGTTTGAAGGTCAGGATAACTACTACAGGGATTTTACATCATCCTTGAATGTCCCATTCTCTCCTTCTCTGCTCCAGCCCTCCCCCCCTCAGTGCCTCAACCTTCTTCCACCCAAGTCAAGCACCTTGACTTTGCCCTGCTGAACATCTGAAGATTGCATTTCCACAGGCACTCGGGGATGTAGTGCTCCACTGTCTCCTGCAGGGGGCTCCAGGGTCTCCATGAGCGCATCCTTCCTGCCCCCACCTGCACACACTACTCTGAGCTTTCCTCGGGATGCTTCCCCAAACTGTGCATCAAACAACTTGCCTTGTTGTCCTTGTCCTCCTACTCCCTGGTCCTTACGTTGTTTGACCCTTATGAAATGTGAGCTTTAGGACCAGGACTGTTCAAGGACCAGGAACATACATAGCTCAGGGCCTCAGATGCACAGGGCCCTACAGTGCACACCCAGCCCAGCCAAAAAAAGCCACTAGATGGAGTCTTCAAATAGTACCGGAATGGCAGGTGTTTGATGATAGAAATTCTTTACACAGCCACACTGATCCATTTGCAAATAAGGAAATTAAAAGTACAAGTTAACTTGATTTAAAAAAAAAAAAAATCCACTAGTAAGCTGCAAAACTGAGATTCAAACACTGGTTTGTGTGTGTATCCCGAGCAGTTACGGAGTTGTGCTGCCTCCCACATAATGCTGAGGGTGTTCCCTCCAAACCAAAACTGGTCACCATCTACTGAAAGCCCAAGGGGAGAGGAGGCGTTTGTGTGCCATGCTTGGCATCCACAGGCAGAACCTGGCAAGCTGTGGCACCTTTAAGTCTATGCAAAGAGCTGGTGGCATCTGGAGTGTAGACTGCTGCTCATTTCAGGAAATGGCAGCCAATATTACGTCATTGCCGGTAAATGGTTCCCGTGGAATTCCATCAGGTGGCGCTAGAAAAGGCTTGAAAACTTGACAGCCGTAGCTTCAATATGAAAAACACTTGTTCCTAAACTGATACTGTCTGACGTGCATAATGACCAGGCATTACAAACGATGCCAAGCAGAGCACATCACAGACAGCACAAGCTGCCCACTAGCCATGACAGCAGCGGAAGGAGAGGGACAAGGAAAACGGTCAAAGTTTAGCCCCTTACCTGTTGTTTTGCCTCGGAAGACTACTGGTGTCACTAATATTTAAAACTAAGTACTCCTGGTCACAGATGGCTCACAGTAAAAATCCTAGAAATCAGAAGGCTGAGGCAGGAGACTTGCTGGGTATGTGAAGGATAGCGTGGGTCACAGGGGGAGTCCTTCTTTCAGAAAACCTAATTAGGGCCGGTGAGATGGCTCAGCCAATAAAAAAAGCGCTTGATGTCCAAGCCAGAATCAAAGGAGAAGCAGAGAGCCAACTCCCTAGCGTTTGACCTTTGACCTCCACATATGTGGCTACACACACCATAAACTTTAAGTTTTAATATAAATAAATAAAGCAGGGCAGTGGCGGCACACACCTTTGATCCCAGCACTCAGGAGACAGAGGTAAGCAGATCTCTGTGAGTTCTAGGACAGCCAGGGCTACACAGACAGACCTTGTCTTGGAAAAAACAAACAGAAAATGCACACATTAATAAAAGTACAGGAAAGTTTCTTATAGGAGATAATTACTTTCACTTATGTGGGGGGGGGGGGTTTGTGTTTCTTTGTAACTTTAAAGAGATGGTATCCTCCACTACAGAGAGCTTCCAAATGATAAGACATTGCAGGGCGGGCAAGATGGCTCAGCAAATAAAGGGATTTGCCACCAAGTCAGAGTTGCATCCCAGAACCCATATGGTGGAAAGAATTGACTCCACAAAGTTGTCCTCTGATCATATAGACGCCATCACACACACGAACACACACACACACACGCACACGCACACGCACACACACACACACAAATAATAAAAATAAAAAAGTTAAAAGAAAACAACGTGGGAGGTAGCCTAGACTCTCTTGAAGCCAGTGTGCACAGATGTATTTTTGCTGCCCTCTGCTGTCCATGGAGGGTATGGCAGTGATTGAACCAACCATCCATTTCCAGGGCCTCCCAGCCTGAAAGCTGAAGTCTGGGAAGACTTCGCTCCTAAATACACTACTTACTCCAGTTGGCCCTTGGCACAGCATGCCTGTGATGTGCCCCACCCCAAATTACACGTCACAGCAGAATGGGAAATACCGCTTTGTCAAGACATCAGTGAAGTTCTCTTGGATGGTTAACAGAATGGTCTGTCAGTAGGAAGATGAGTGCTGTAACCAACAGCCTGCCCCATAGGCCATCCATGGAGCGACCAGCCACATTCTGCATGTGCTCTCTAGACTCCTCTCTCTCCCCAAGACAGTGATTCTCAACCGTGGGTTGTGTACAGACACCCTGCATGTCAGCTATTTACATTACGATTCATAACAGTAGCAAAATTACAGCGATGAAGTAGCGACGAAAATAGTTTTATGGTTGGGGATCACCAGAACGCAAGGAACTGTATAAAAGGATCACACCTTGAAGAAGGTTGAGAACCACTGACTGCCCCAAGAGAAGTAAGCTGAGCAAAGGAAGCAGACCACTGCTCTGCTTTGCCTGCCACAGGGGTCTTATATATGTGTGTGACGTCATGAGGACAGACCAGTTTGTTTCCATACACTGGTGGACAGGGCAGCACATTGGTTCAGCTACTGGGATGAATCCACCCACCCAGTTACTGCAGGGGTAAACTTCCTGTATTATCTCCCCCTGGTTCTTCACCTGTCAAATACAGATAATAATAACTAGAGTTACTGGTTAATCCGATGAAGACTTCTAAATCTTTTAGTTTATCTCCACTTTGAAATGCAGCATGAACAAAAAAAAAAAAAAAATAGCTGATCCGAATGCCTGGTCCACAGTAACTTCCTTGTTTCTCCCTCCTATAAGCAGTGATTATGTGTCTGTCACTAAAAGCACTTTGACTTTTCTCCAAACCATGACCAATTTTAAAAGGTTTAGTCTTCTCATCCTGCCTTACTTCACTCATCTGTGAGCTTGTGCATGTAGCCAGCCACAGTGCCTGCTGCCCAACCTACGCAAGTGTGCATGGATACCCCTGGCTCCTGCATGCTTAGAAAGTACATGCCAGATGCCAGCGCCCCCAGTGGTGGTGGTGGTGGTCCCTGCCTATGTCCCTGCCAGAGCCTTGGCCCACTCTGCTAACTGCCATTCTTGTCCCTCTGAGTCCACCCATTATTACATGGGTTCTCACGTCCTTGTAGCTGAGCTTTCTTGACCTCTCTGCTTATACTGAGAGTAGGTGTCTATTCCCTAATCCCAGGGGCAGGGTTTCATTCACACCAAGTTCTCTGGGCGTGTATGCCACCACTGACTGTGAGGGTCATTCATGTCTTGCTCCCTAGGACAGTGACAGCGACAGCTCCTAGTCTGGAGTCTGGGACACAGTAGGCACTCAAAATGTGTTGAGTGGGTGAAGGGATGAGGATGGTCAAGGTTCTGATTTGGTTTCTAGAGCAAAGATCCACACATTTCTAGATGACTCCTCTGAGGTCTGCTCTACTCCGCAGCGTGGTGAATGTTGTTTTCACACCAGGTCCCTCCTGAAGCATGAAAGAGACTACATCTCAGTGAAGAAGCATGCTTGTTTGGCCTTCTTTCTGGGAGGGACCCATCCCCTGGGCCAATTTTACTAACCCTGAACTCCTACTTAGAGTTTCCTCTTTGACTCTTCCTAGGAGGAGGAACATGGCAGGGAGATTCCCTGACTCTTTGACGGGTGATGTGTTCGGATCCACACAACAGCATAGAGATACCTTTAAGATGGCCCTAGGCTTCATTGCCCCATCCCCCAAGCTTTGGACACCGGGACAGTGGCTGGGGTCACATCAAGCGGCCTCTTAGGTCACCCTCTCCCTTTTCTCTTTCAGGCGCAGAAAGAAAGAGGCACACTGAGGGAACCCTGCAGCTCAGTCATCGCCTCAGGTGCACGATGCACCTGCCTCAGCTGCTTCAGGAAGTTGCCTAGACCAGTGGGCCCTGGATGTCTTCTCCGCACTAGCTTGCTGCTTGTGAAATTTAGGACAACACCAGTTGGTTCAACCGAGCCCTCTATGCTGGAAATGGCTGTCACATAGGCTTTGTGGCTGATGAACAACAGCTGCTGTGTGTTGTCTCTCCCAGGAAACCCAGCGTCTCTGACAGCTAGTGTATAGGAGAGGAGGGGCCCACCCTGCCAGGAGTGGAGAAACCTCAGGCCAAGCTCTCGAGCCATTTGGGTCAGTGGGCTTTCATGTCCCCACACCATCATGACAAACATGGCAGGAGACAGAGGATTCTGTGTGAAGCAACCTAGCATACCTCCTCCATTAGACATACCTCAGCAGCTTCCATGACCGTCATGTTCAACGATGAGTGTCCTCAGGCTGGGCTGACACGAGGTCTCATAAAGGGTTGAGTGGTCCCCGCCCCACTCCACAGGCTCTCCGGTGGGGGTGAGCTGGGCACCCAAGCTGAGTTAGCACTTCATGCGAATGTAGCTTCCCCTAGTTGGCTCTCAGGGGCTGTTTTCTCTGTGTTGATGCTTACCATGAGCTTGAACTGTGCTGATATGAACTGAGTTGAATTGCTCTGAATCAAATTAGATGGAAATAAATTGACATGAAAGTCCGATACTTATGAATCTTGCTGGGTGCAGCGGCCTTGCAACTGATCCATGACACGGGTTCACCTTTGTTCATACATAAGTCACACAGAGACAAACGATCACCAACCCTACCAGTGAACCCTGGAAACAGCCCTTGCCCCTATGCCGCCAGTCTAAGCCAAACTCTGGAATTTCAGAGAGCTGGCTCAAGAGTCTGCATTAAGAAAACAAAATGAAAAGCCA